TGGCGGGTGTGCTATTTTATTTATTTGTTTCATTGTAATTAATAGTAGGGTAATTGCTTTTGTGTTTTTAAATTTATTTGTTTTGAATTAACAAACAACACAATTGACCCCTAGCGACAAATAGCAAGAAACTTGTAGAACATAATGTTCTGTTTTGAGGAGAAAGGATAAGAGGATTTGCACATACACCAGCAACGTCGGGAGTGACATGGTTCAGGATGTCCTCAATGACTTGGAGATTGGGCTTGGCATAGACATCACGCCCATCAGGCGAATGGGTTCCCTGAATTTGCTTCATCATGGCACTGTCATCAGATAATGACATCCGACGGACATTCTTGGCCAGTTGCTGCATTATGGGCTTCTTTTCCATTTTTTTGGGAATTAAGAAGGCAGGATGGGGATAAAATGGGTTTTTGTGTGGTTTTGCAGTGGCTCAGGGTAAGCTATACATAAGGACGAAAAGTTGGAATAAATTCTATAATTGAATCATGTTATACCTTGCTTCCCAGAGGGTTTAAATTTTGTTAAATCCATGCTTGTCAGGTGGATAGAGATATAAGAAAAAGGTAGGCCCATGATAACATTGTCTTTACAGAATTTAAGAAGAGGTTCCCCAAAAGATTAATGTTTAATGTTCCCTTAAGCCCTTTTTGAGGTCATTTGATTAAAATTAACATGTTAGTTGATAAAGCTACCAGAAGGGTAGGTTTGTGCTTTTTGTTGTCACAACAATACCATGCTCAGTCACTGCTCATGGATATGTTTGGTTTGTTTTCAACTTTTTTGGGGAAAAAAAAAAGAGTAGAAAACTAGTTTGGCAAACTTTTTCTGAAAACCAATTGTTTAGAAATATCATATATTTATTTTTGAAAACCGCTATCACAAGTTTTTGAACTTTGTTATGACGGAACAAACGAAAACAAAGTAAAACAGAGGAATCACACAAGAATACAAACATACGAGTGGTTTGGCTAAAAGCCTACATCCACGAGAAAAAAACGACAAAGGGTTTAACTATCAAAAGAAGAGAAATTATAATGATCGACTATTTCTATCAAAAGTCATTTTTGTAGCAAAACTTCTGTTTAATCTCATAACCCTAATCCTCAAAATAACTCATAATAGATACTATGATTGAATGAAACAAGAATCAGGTCAGAACTAGTAAGCCCATTAGTTGGGTCGTGGGCATCACCAACAGGTCATAAGCACAAATCGGATAAAATAACCTACAACAAACCTTTTATTATTTTGTTTCTAAAGAGACAAAAATGAAAATAGAAAAAATAAAATTATAAAAAAATGCAAAAACTATACTGAACAGGTGTAGACTAAAAAGAAAACTTATTTTGCCTGGATAGTTAAGAAATGCTCCTCCATGAAAGCAGCCTAGCTAGCTATATCTCAATCTTCATTCTAGCCATTAAACCTTGTTGTTATCACTGGTGATTTTAATTTTAATTTTGATTTTGAATTTGATTTTGATTTTGATGTTGATTTATTTGTTATTTTTTTGTGAAGGGTGATTTTCTTGAATGCTCTTTCTTACTTAGCTTTGTTTGGTTCATTTCTTCTTTGATTTGCTTTTTGGGGTGTAAATTTTGTTAAAGCCATGTTTGCCTGGATGGAAATAAGAATATGGTGGACCCATAATAACCATGTCTTTACAGAATTTAATGATGGTTTTCCTTAAGGATTAATGTTAACATTAACATGTTCTCTTAGTTAATAAAGCTATCAGGACAGTTTGTGCTTTTTCTTTTTATTTTTGGTAAATTAATTTTCATTGAACAAAAACAACACAACAATAGCCAGAAACAAAAAGGAGGGCTAATATTAGTAGGGACAACATGATTGGATTAGGAAAGACAAAAAATATCAAACAAATTTCATTTACGATATTTTATTGGTTGGATGGTATCACCGTTGTAATTAATTTTTGTTCCCAAGTAGGGTCATATTGAATCTATCATGTAGAATAAACTTCTAAATACTCATAGTCATCCATAAATTATGTCTATCAATTAAGACCAGACACAACACTAAAAAAAGTTAAAGACATTTGAACTCAAATGCATGTGGGTTTCACTCTTAGCTGTGATAAATATTGAGTGCAAAACCACCAAAGGGTTTGTGCACCTGGTAGCTCTTTTTGGTGAAACCATACGTGGATCCTATATGCATCCCAAAATCATTTCTTGTTCATGAAATATCCTCCCTCATCAACCACATTCGATCCCATCAATGTTATATTCAGAAAAGGAAAAAAATTAAAATTTAAAATATATGGATTAAATTTATTGAGTATGATTCAAATTATATAAAGTTTAAATTTGTATAACAGGTGAGAAAATAAAAAAAAAATATAGTTCCGTGTTATATCCCATGCAGCTTATTTAACCATTTTTAAGGTATTTGCTGGTCCATTTTTTCAGCACTAAGATTTAGACAACGCAATTGAAAGGCAGGGCCACATTTGACCCACCCTTATGGAGTGAACTTTTGATACCTGCAATCATTGGTAAACCATAGGTATGGATTAAGCCTGAGAGACACTAATGAGAGTCAAACTAAGATGTCTAGGTTTACAATTCATCACAGGGTCTAACCCTATACCGCTAAACTACTGGTGTCGGCCTTTATAGTTCATCTTGGGTAGAAAAGCAAACTTGTAATTGTGGTGGTGAAAATTGTATATTAAAATTCAAATTCGAATTCAATTTTTGTTATATCTGTTTACCTTGTTCTTTAACAAAGACTTCCAACTTATCTTCTATCATGCAAAATCTCCAAGATGTACAAGCTTATCCTTTCTTGTTTGTGAATATTAGATAGTGAAAGTTATGAGAATAAATATTCACGCCAAACAGTGAATATGAACTTGAACACCATTAAGGTTCTATCAAGATTAGAAAATCCAATAACAATAATCCAAATCCAGTAGTCCAATAGTTCAACAGGCGGATACGAAGTTTTCAGAAAAACAATCCAATAGTCCATTGATTTAGAAGCTACTCAGCTTCACCTGTGGCATAGGAAATACTAGGAAATTAACCAAAAAATGATCTACCAAATAATCCAATAGTTCATCCAATCAAATAATCCTTTTTTGTGGATATTTTTATTTAATTTTTGTTTGAAGTGGTCAAATGGTTGGTTGTGGTACATTTGTGTAAATGTTTATTTGTGTAATGGTTATTCATACTTTGAACAAAGGTAGTAGACTTGCATCTCTGTTATTGCTTATGCAGTTTGTTGAGGTGAAAAGATGTGCAAAATCATATTTTTCGTAGATAGATTCTTTTTTTTCTCGCCATAATCATTGCTTTCCTTAAGTATTGTCTTCTTTACTAACTCTATTTCGATGTTCTGCTTTTTGTTTGTCATAGGTCCTCAATTTCTCCATCTTAACGTAGAAGTATACCTATACCTCCTCCATCCCTTCCTCCATAGCGGTTGCATTAGCAGGTCTGCTTTTTAATTTATTTACTTTTAATTAATAGCAGGGCACTGGCGGGTGTGCTATTTTATTTATTTGCTTTTAATGAATAGCAGGGCACTGGCAGGTGTGCTATTTTATTTATTTGTTTCATTTTAATTGATAGTAGGGTACTTGCTTCTGTGTTTTTGAATTTATAGCAGGGCACTGGCTGGTGTGCTTATTTATTTATTTGAATTTAACGAATAGCAGGGCACGGGCGGGTGTGCTATTTTATTTATTTGTTTGATTTTAATTTATAACAGAACATTGGCAGGTGTGTTTTTAATTAATTAATTTTATTTTAATTAATAGTAGGGTACTTACAGGTGCTTTTTTTATTATTGGCATGTAATTGATAGCATAGCACGGACTGGTGTGCTTATTTGTTCATTTTCTATAAAGAAGTAATAATTGATAGCACAATATTAGCGGGTGTGCTTTTTTTGGTTTTTTGTTTGGTTTTAGTTGATAGTAGGGTGCTTGCAGACATGTTTGAATTTTTTTTTAAATTGATTGCAAGGCACTGGCAGGGGTGCTATTTTATTTATTTGTTCTGAAGATGTAAATTATAGCAGCGCAATGGCATGTGTGTTTTTTAGTTGATTTGTTTCGTTTTAATTGCTAATAGGGTACTTACAAGTGTATATACGATGGATGAACCTGAAAGTAGTAGGCCTGAAGAGGTCAATACTGAAATTGATGATCAATTTGCTCTAGATGGCAAGGATGATGTTGTTGATGTGAAAGAAGGGTTAGCTTCCCAAACCTATGATAGTTTACGAATGCTTACTAAGGAAGATGTGTTGCAAATGAAATTCAATTCAGAGGATGATGCTTATACTTTCTACAATGCATACGCTAAGGTCATCGGTTTTAGCGTACGAAGAAGTAGAAAAAGAATTACTGGAGACAACAAATTTGTAGAGAGTAGGAAATGGGTTTGTTCAAGGGAAGGTGTAAGAGAAAAGAAATACTTGCAACGTGTGGAACGGGTAAGAACTCCTAGGGCAGAAACTAGACTTTTTTGTAATGCCACATTTCGTGTGCGTTATGACAAGACAGCTAGGAAATATGTTGTGACCCACTTTGTAGGGGAACACAACCATCCGTTGGCAGCACCACACTGCGTCCCTTTTCTTTGGTCGCATAGGTTTGTAACAAGTGCAGACCAAGCTCAAGCAAAGGCCATGCGCAATGTGGGTATGAAAACGAGTCAGATCATGGATTTTATGGTCCATCAGTCAGGGGGTTATGAGAAGGTGGGCTTCATTCACAGAGATTTGCACAATCAATTCCAAGCTGAGCGCAAAGTACAACTCGCAGAAGGGGATGCAGAGGGTGCGTTAGGATACTTGTCAGCTAAATTAGATGCAGATCCATTATTTTTTTTCAAATACAACGTCGATAAGGACAACCGGTTGGACAAGATTTTCTGGGCAGATTGTAGGTCTCGAATGGATTATGCTGCATTTGGTGATGTATTGGTATTTGATACAACTTATCGTACAAATGCATATAAGAAGCCATTTGTAATTCTAGCTGGCGTGAGTAACCATTTTATGACAACTATATTCGGATGTGCTTTGTTGCCTGATGAGACAATGGAGACATACACGTGGGTGTTGGAAATGTTAATGGACGCCATGGATGGTAAAAGACCCATCTCCGTTGTAACAGATGGTGATAGAGCAATGCGTCAGGCAATCAAAAGAGTTATTCCAAACTGCAGACATCGTTTATGTTCTTGGCATCTGGAGAAAAATGCCTCAACAAATGTCCACATACCAAAATTTACAATCGATTTTGCACAGTTGATGTTAAAGAAATGTAAAATTGATGAGTTTGACAATGCCTGGGCTGCTATGGTGAAATAGTACAAGTTGGAGAAC